ACACTAACCTGTGGCAGCAGCCAGCTCCACAAACTGGTCAGCAGTCAGCTGCTGCTCAACACATCCCCCTTCTGCAGGCTCCCGGGCACATCTGGCACATCTGGATTTTTGTTGTTAAGTCATCTTAAAGGAGAAAAGCAAACAAACCCAAACGGGAAGCCTTGAATTCTCATGAGCACAGATCCTCACCAGACACTGCACAAGGCTTTATGCTCAGCCTCCCTGTTGGCCTCTGCTGCCCCGCTCCGAACCAGACCCCCTGTTCCTGAAGGAAGTCCATACCGCCTTTATTGTCACCTGCTGGTTGCCCGGTCTATAAAACGGCTGAATGCTGGACATCTTTCGTCCCTTAGCTTCCCTGCTGTCAGCTGGGAGCAAGGCCAGAGGGGTGATGTGTGCACTCATTCTCATGAGCATCCATACATGTGCACCCATGTTCAATACATACCTACAGGAAGAGTCTCTTCTGCCCAGAGAGATTTGTACTGTGATTTTTGTCTCTTGTGTGAGTGTGTGGGTGAGCAATCTCAGATGTATTCATTCATTCATTCATTCATTCATTCATTCATTCATTCATTCAGCCGATGTTTATTGAGCGCCTAAGAAGTCTTTTTTTTTTTTTTTTTTTCAAGACAGGGTTTCTTTGTATAACAGCCCTGGCTCTCCTGGAACTCTCTGTAGACCAGGCTGGCCTTGAACTCACAGAGATCCGCCTGCCTCTGCCTCCCGAGTGCTGGGATTAAAGGCATGGGCCACCACCACCCTGCTAGTGCCTAGGAAGTCTTACTCATCAAAATCAGCCCTGGAGTGTTTAGGGTCCTAGGAAGTTTGTTTGTTAATTTATTTTAGGACACAGTTTCTCTATGTAGATCTGGCTGTCCTGGAACTCATGCTGTAGACCAGGCTGGCCTCAGACTCAGAGATCCATCTGCCTCTGCCTTCTGAGTGCTGGGAGTAAAGTCGTTTGTTTCTCAGTTTCCTGGGAAGTTGTTTTTGCAGGGCACCTGCCTTCATGAGCAATTTGGGCCCCCCGCAATCAGGATCTCACACTGTGATGAGAGCCCCACATCCTGTGAGTCCAGGAGAGAATGTGTGGGGCAATTGGCATCTGTGCAGCCAGCTGTGGGGGCCCAGGCCTGGAGTTCCTGGCTGACTTAGGTGCGGTCACAGAACAGCTCCAAAGACAGAGGCAGGAAGGAGCCCAGGTAAGACCCTTGCCCAGGAACCTGGCCAACTTGGTGTATCTTTTGGGCATGGCAATGAGACTGAGTACATCCAAGGAGGTACCAGGGTGTTGCCTAAGCCGCCCACACACAGCGTTCATGGGTGGATCCAGTTCTAGGGGAGCAGCAGCAACAGTGAGTGGACCAATCAGTGATGCTGGTAGTGTGAGACCTTCAGAAGGGCTGGGATGGGCAGCTTGGGCAGAAAAATCCCTGGCCTCAGCCCTGGGACAGGGGTTGACTGGTCACTTAAGAGTGTAAGGAAGGACAATAAAACCTGGAAAGGGAGAGGAGCCCAGTGAGGTGGGATGGGGCTGGGTCAAAGGTCAGGAAACGTCAGACAACAGGTATTGGAGCAGAGTTCAGTCGGAACATCCCCTGGTGGTGATGACCGCGTCCATTGCCCTAGGATGTATTCATTTATCCAGCCCAGGAGATGGTGTGAGGAGATCCAGGCTAGGACCTTATGATGGGGGTGTCCTGGGTTGTTCATGTGGCATTGAGTTCCAGTTCCAGAAGGCAGAGGATGTGGCTTGGGAAAGGGACAGAGAGATGGGGAAGAGAGAAGGGGGGTGGGGTGAGGGGGGACGGGGAGGATGGAGGCAGAAGCAGCCCAGGAGAGCCATTGTCTGGATCCACCCAGAAAAGGCTGAGGTGGAATTGTCATCTGGAACCTTGATGGATGAAACTGAGTCTGGAACTGTGGGGGAGCACTTTCTGGGGGGTGGGGGGATGGGGGGGCTGCAGCTGCAGGGAGGGAGACAAGCCAAGGTGGGAAGGTGAGGGGAACAGTCCCGCTGCCCTTGGCTAGGCGCTCACTGCCCCTACACAGCATGTGGGGGTGGCACACCACAGACAGGGGTCCTCCCCACTCCCAGGCAGGAAGCCAGAGATCTGGCTGGTCTGGGCTAGCAGGCTCTTTAGAGATAGGACCATCCCCATCCTCCCCTGGGGAGAAGAACGAGCAGGTCTCTGGGTCCCTTTTGCCAGGGCACTAGCCTCAGGTATTGGGCTCCACACCCATGGCCTCTTAGTGCCATGTTCAGGACACCACAGCATCCCAGACCACTGATTATGAAAATACATAATAACCACAGGGTTCAGAGCTCAGAAAATAAAAAGAGCATCTGTGACTGATAAAGATGGTCCCAAGAGGAAAATGAGAAAAGGTTTGATTTCACAGAACAGGAAAGCTATATGGATGGCCAGTGAGCGAATCAAAAGCTTTCCAACTAAAAAATAAAAATTACAAGAGGCACTGATCACCAGGCGGTGGTGGCGCATGCAGCACTCAGGAGGCAGAGGCAGGTGGATCTCTGTGAGTTCGAAGCCAGCCTGGTCTACGGAATGAGTTTCAGGGCAGCCAGGGCTATTACACAGAGAAACCCTGTCTTGAAAAAAACAAACAACAGCAACAACAACAACAAAAAAGGCACTGACCTCATGGGATAGCCATAATATGCAAATCAAGGGGGAGGGGCATTCTCCTTCATAAGGCATGATGGGAAGCCAGAGCACATGACCAAAGCCTATGGGGGAAGGGTGGCCAGGGCCCCCCCCCCGCACCCAATGAACTGGAGACTAATTTATCTGAGAGGCGACTGGGCAGCTGGGAAAGAGCTGGGTTGTTGCCTAGAGTGTGGTGACGTCGGAGCGTAGTCAGCGTAAGTGTGACAGCTGGGTGGTTTGGGAGCACTAGTGTGAGCAGTCAACTGCTGAAGCGACACTGGCGGGTTAGAAGTCACTCCCAGGCCTCCTGCGTGGCCCCAACAAAGTCTCCGGTCTCTGGTCTCCGGTCCTCCTGTGGATGGGAGAGTATTCACGTCGGCAGCTCTGCTCCCCAGGCTAGGTGAGTGGCTCTGAGGTCTCAGGGGACTCCTAAGTCCTAATGCCCCTCCAAGTACAGAAGCCAGGTGGTCCTGTGTCCAGGCTGGTGCTGGGGTCCACCAGCCTTCTGCATTCTCCCCACTACGGCAGAGTCTCAGCCAGTCCAGAGCCCAGGCGCTTGTTCAGATGGGGGCCCCCTTCCCCTGTTCCATTTCCAGCTGCTGACACCAGGTGTCACTGAGGATGACCAGAAGTGAGGGCTCAGGAGTCTCCTAGTGCAGGAATCCCAGGACTCAGAACTCAGGATCCCAGGGTAGGGGGTGGCGGTGGGGAGGGGGAAGGGAGTCCTTGATGTCGAGGTGGGAAGGTTAGATGGAGATCATGATAGGAGGGTATGTTTCCAGCCAGTGTGGCAGGTGACTGTCCTGTCCTGT